GGTTTGCAGGTTGCCACAGTGTGCTTGCCATCCTGACTGAGATGCATCTGTGGTAACAGTGACTGTCACCAGGTTGCAGGGCATGTTCCAACATGGTAGCCTCATAATTAGAGACCTGGAGACTGAGTGCTGTGGCTGCATACACTTGCCTCACCATATCATCCAGGCAGCGGCCCACTGGTCCCTTGTGACCTCTGAGAAGTTCCTTGCATGGGTTCACGTATTGCCAAATTGGGGTTTGGATGTTGGAAGAGGACAAGTTCATCCTTTTCCAACTCTCAGTATGTAGTCTCCAGCATTTTTCACATGATTATGCAGCTGAGGTGGTCCTCCATGACCATCTGACAATTTACAGCAGGGTGGACAAGAATGATTTGGCCACTGGTGCTAAGTCTTCCATATGCAGGGGGTCAAATACAGGATTGGTGACTTGATCCTGCTGCTGCTCTGTCTCAAGCCCAAGGGAGGTGGCCATCCTGATGATCTGCTCTGAAAAGTTACCCTTCTCTTCCAAAGTGGATGCTGGATCTTGTGACACCATGGCCATATTAGGTGACAGTGACTGTTGAGGGGCCCTCAAAATAGAGGGGCCCTCAAAATAATCAACTCCATGTCTGAGGCAGAGGGTTCGGGGCTTGATGAGGAGGTTGGTGTCCTCAGTCTCTGGGGTCTTGACACTGAGGGAGTCAGTGATTGGTGTTGACTTGATGCTGGGATTTGGTGGCAGCTTGGTACCGAGGCCTCATCTTGGCATGGAAGACATTTTCTTGGAGTCTTTTCAGAAGCAAAGTAGTGGTGGCAACCATTTGGAGGTCCAGTCCCATTAAATGGAGGAAGCACAGGAGATGTCCTGATGTATCCTGGCTGATGGCTGCTGTGTTGATGCCAGTAAGGCAACAACAGATTTTTTTGACATTGAGCTGTTCTCAAAAGGCAGTGGGCTGTCTCTGAGCTTCCTTTCTGATGTAGTGTGGGCTGGGTCTTCCCTTGGTGCCAGGGATTGTGACTGGTTGAAGGGTGAGGTCAAATGGATCCTCAGCAGTGAGGGTGGATGGGTCTCTTGTGGTGCCTCCTATTTCTTTGGTGGCAGCAGCCATCTTTTTGGGACACTTCACTGCCCTCTTGGCTTCATGGTCACTGGGTGAATGATTCTGTCAAGGGAAATGCAGGTTGACTAGGGGTTCTTTTGCCACCAAGGTGGAAGATTGGTCATATCCAAAATGCCTGGCAGAGTTGGCAACCTGAAAAGTACTTCTCCAAAGTTTGGCCTTCAGGTGGTTGGCCTGGTTTCTCCATGTCTGCTTTGCGATGGCCAGTCTACATTGATAGTCCTCTATAGCATGTCCCTTGCGCAGGCAGAGGAGGCAGAGGCAGTGGCCATCTGAGGAAGGAAGGCTGCTGTAGCAGTGGGTGCAGCTCTTAAATGCCACCAAGGACACCATTGTGGTAGATGGGGAAGGTTGGAGAGAATGAAGGCAAGGGCAACTTGGTGAGAATGTAAGGAGCAGAGATAGAAAGTGGGTAGAAAGTTATTTTTTGTTTTGTTTTTTGGTAGATAAAGAGTGAGTGGGTTTGTGAAGGCAGAAGAAGTGTGAAGGAAGGTTCGGAAGGCGAAAGAATGCTAGATTGCTAAGTGAGAAGTACTTCCCAATCTAGGCACAATGGCAGTTGAAAAGCAATTGAGCCTCTTCTGGAAAAGGAAGGGGAGGGGCTCCCACCCACTCTAATGGAAGGGGAATGTATCCACTTGAATGCTTAGCTATAGAAGCTCCCCAACAACAGGCTCTGCACAGATGCAAAGCTCATATGTATGATGCACAGAGACCATGAAGAACCAGATCTTTCACTTTTGGAAATGGCAGGTCATCCATTTAAGGTCCAATATGGAATGAATGTACCCTTTATTGAAAAGATTCCAAATATCTCTTGGCCTTGGTCAAAATGGTTGTCCAAGTTCAATTGCTTGTATCTGAAGGAGGTGTACTGCTAGTGAGATCCTCCAGTGTAGGTGAGGTCACTGAGGGTTTGGTAAAACAGGAAGGAATCTATACATAAAAAACTGTGAAATTCCAGAAAAAACTCTCTTCCCACCATGCCCAGGAACCAATAGTCAATTGTACAGCCCCTTTAAATCTCCAAGAATCTACTCACTGTGTGCTCTGGTATAGGTTAGTGAAGCTATGCTTTGCTGCTTCTCAAGGTAACAGAGGGTATTTTGCTACAGGTATTGTGGGCCTGCTGAATTGAGAAGTTTATCTTAGCCTTGGCTGTGCATTGCTCCTCTTATCCAGGATCAGGGTGCCCAGATGGCAGTTTGGATGGGTGCATGGATTTGTAAAGACAGAAGGCACGGGACTGTTTGGAAGTCTGATTTTCTCTTTCTTATAAAAATTAAGACTCCCCCCAAGGCATGAAGTCCTGTTCCCCATATCTGAGCTTCTTTTTATTTGGATGGGCTAAAGAAGAAGGATCAGAAGAAGCAGGCTTGATCCTGTCATGTGTTCTCAGATATTTACAGGTGTAAGAAAATGTAACACTGCTTGATGGAATGGGATGCTGTCCTCTTTTCTTCATGCGGGCAGATGTCTGTAAATGACTGTGACAGTGGCTTCTTGAATGGGACTTAGATCAAGAGAAATGATGGAAACCAGGTTTCTGCAACAATCCCAATGCCAATATGGGGAGACCCAGAGTGATATCAGCAACCACTCCTGTGGCTATCCTAAGAGTGACTATGGAAAAAACAGATCCTATGCATTCTAAGGGGTCTATCTCTAGAGCAATCATGGAGAACATCTGGAACACAAGGTTCTCCAGTCCTACCTGTGAGGCTGTTTTCCATAGGAATGTACTCTTTATTAAACCATAACCCTTACCTTTTATTTGAGCCAGTGCCTTGAGGTGCTGTTCCTTCAGGTGCTAGTTGGGTGGGCTTCACTTGCCACTTGTCACTGCTCACCTCCTGGCCAGGATGATGAGCAGCAAGCAAGGCCTGCTCTGCTTCAGTTGGCACCTTAAAGAGCCACTGTTTGTCTACTCCTTGCACCCCAACCCCCACAATAGTGTGTGTGTGTCTGTTTTCTGTTACCCTGAGAAGCAGTGAAGCATAGCTGATCAATGGTAGCTTTAATCAACACAACAAATTCGAGGGGAATGTTCTCTCCTATGACTATTGGGAGGTTTAGGGAACATTCCAATTCTGTGTTTGCTTTGACAACTGATGGAGAGTTAGACAAAGAAAAGCTGCAAGCCTGCACTCTCATGTAATAGGAATGGGGCTTATAATTTCTTCAGCAGGGGAATCACACCTTTGGGTTACTTATGCTGCCATGTTTCATCTTGAAAGACTATGGGCTGTTTTAAATGAGCTACTAATTATAGGCTCATGATTATTCCCTTGGGTAGCTTGCAGGTACTTTATATGACCTCATCATCTTCCAGGGTCTCTTTTGTGCTTTTCAAGTATTTCTGCATCATTTTTTAGAGAGAAGAAAGTGCAATATTATCTGGAAATGGCAGAATGAACTGGAATAGAAACTCTTGTCCTTTTCACAATCCTGATATAATGCACCATCACACCTTGTAGTTATGTAATAGAACATACAGAAAGGCAGAGAAAGAAAAGTCCCCAGAGGGGCAAAAATGTGTAAAAGAGTTTATTTAATCCTACAAAGAATCTGGAAGTCGAAGCCTTGGTAAATTTGTAGGTTAAAAGCATCATGCAGAGAAGCCCAATATATTTTGTATAAACTAGGGAGACTGTAAGCAACCAATGCCAGTGTTCTTTGCCTTTTGGTATCTTCAAGGAGTAGCCTATGGGTGTGACAACCATCTGTCCGAACTGATGGTCTGGGGGAGAAAAAACCTGAAGGAAGCAGCCTCTATGCCTTCAGATGAGGCAGCCTATAAGCTCCAGTGGCATGATGAAAGGGGTTTGGCTTCTTTGCTTGCCTTCCCCTGAAGCTGTTAGAGTGGTTCATCTGCTAGTGCTTGTTTTCTTGATGCTGAGCTTTCCTGTGCTGGGGACCCTAGTGGAGCCTGCCTGTTCATAACAAAGGCAGGGACTTAGCAGAGTGCTTGAGGAGAAGACCCTTCTTCCCTCAAAAATGACTTGATGGCTGCTGTTTTGGGGCCTTTCCTCTTGGTAGCTGTCCTCCTACACTTGAGAAGAGACCCATCAATGCAGGTACAAATAGTAACCTACAAATCACTGGGGGTTCTGATAAATAATGCCCATAGCATTATTCATAGGAAAGATTTCAATTGATAGAACTTTGGAGTTTTTCAAAGGCTGTTACTTGAAGTTTATGAAATATTTTTCAGTAACAGTCACAGTAAAATGGCCTGGGGCCAAGAAACTGCGAAACAAAAGCACGAACCTATGGGAAGTAGTATCCTGTTGAAGCTTTTTGAAACTGATAGGAGGGAGCTGCAAATATTTCCCTTTCATGAAGTAAGCCCCTGCCCTTCAGGCAAACTTTCACATCACTTGTAAAGATTTATTTATTTATGGTTTTTGTATGCAGTCCCAATTACTAAAAAAAGTCTCCGGGCGGCTTACAGAGAGTAGACCAAAACAACAGAACCCAAGTTTGTGACACCATTAAAGGCTGGAGGTGGGCATCAGGAGAAGGAACATTTTCCATGATTAATAAATAGACAGCAGTGCCAGGTGATGAACCAACAGAAAAAGTAGCATCCTGCACTTTTGATATATCATTTCCAGAGTGCCACAGCCTGATGGAGATTTCATTCTTGCTAAGAGCCTTTTTAACACCTTTCCTCCTGGAATGTGTGCCTAATCTTTTTTCAAGAACAACATTTGCTATTGTCCATTGCAACTTCCCCAGACAATGAATTCCATAAGTTAGGTATGCATGGTGTTGAGAAGCACTTACTTGTGTCAATGAGTCTGAACAATAGGCATCAGGTTAAGCTGTAGAAAAGCAGCAATTAGAAAGGAATTACTATGGAAGCAATTATGGTACATTTTTACTCACCTGCCTGTCTACTTCTGGAAGCAAAAGCAGGAGGTATTGTTGGAAATGCTGAGGTAAAGAAAGAAATGTGTGTTTGTTTATTAAAGCCCTCAGGTTAGTGTTCACAAGAATAGATCCTGGTGTTTCTATGTCAATATCCTCGGCTTTGGTCCATTTCAAGTGTCCTGGATTAAACAAATAAAACAAATTTATCCTTACTACAAGTACCAGAAAGAACAAAAGCATTTATAAGAAAAATCCAGGCTTCATTTAGATTTTATGTAGTGTAGTACTTTTCACTGCAATCGAGAAAAATGCAATCTTTTCTATGATTCTAAGAGTTTTCCTCTAGATTTTTCACCTTTTCACATTTGTACACCACCCTCCTCCTATCATAGTAATGCTTTCTATTTTATTTCATAAAATAAATGACCAAACAAATGGGAATGAGTCAATTTTCAGTGTCACTATTTCATCCAAATATACTGTAGTCACTTCAGTACTTTTCAAGCCAACAGCCTATTAAACAATGCATTGTTTTGGTACTCTTTCACAAAGAAACCAAAGCCACAAATTTTGAGCCTGTGAATTAATTGTGTTTTTAACTATAAAAGTTCATCCTATGGCCAAAGAGAAAAGAACTTGAACAATTGGACACAAAAGGCCCTATGCAGTTTACCAACTGTTGTGTTGCTATGCAATGCATAGGTTAGCAAATTTTTCTTTCTACACAAGAGCATCCCCTCTCCCAAAAAAGCCACTCATAATGATCAGAGCCACTCACATAACATGAGACTCAAGAGGATGCTACAAGAAGGGAAGACTAGAAATAAATCACATGAACACAGATGCACTTTGCGCATGCGTGGGCTTCCCTGAATTATGTTCATATTGCTAGGAGCAATGCATGCCAATTCCATATGGCACAGAATTACTTCTATTGCGGATTCATAGTGGAGTTATTTCTTGACTTGTCAAAACATCTTCATAGTTTAAATAACACAATAAAACATATTGAAGTAAATTGCTAAATTCTACAGAATTCCAAAATTGTTTTTAATTGGTGAGATCAAAAGGTTGCTCCAGTGTGAGGATGGTCATGCAATTGATCTTTCCCTTCCCTTCATAAAAGCATAAAATGAACTTTGCTAGAACAGACTAATAGCCTACCTAGTCCAGTACTCTTACAGCAGACAACCACATCACTACAGGATGCTCACTAAAGGCAGCATGAGTGCATTAGCACCTTCCTGCTCTTATTTCCCGGCCACTGGGACCGGGAGGCACTCTGCCTCTGTCACTGGAGATAATGGACAGCATGACTAGCAGCCACTGGAAGTTTTACTTTCCATGGATTTGTCTAATCCCTTTTGTCTAAACCCTTTTAAAGCCATCCAGCTAATGGCCATTCTTTCATCTTATGGGAGAAAATTCCATAGTTAAATTCTATGCTTTATGAAAAAGTATTCACTTTTGTTTCTCTTGAATCTCCCAGCATTCAGCTTTATTGGATGACCTTGTATTTTAAGAGGTAAAAATTCCCCCTCTTTGTCCACTGCATGCACATCGTTTATACACCTTTATCATATTCTCCCATCCCCCCTTTATAAGCTAAAAAGCTCCAAACATGGTAATCTTGTAGGGAAGTTGTTCCAGACTCTGGATAATTTTTGTCACCTTTTCTGCACCTATCCAGGTCTCTGAGCTGCAATGGCTACATACAATATTCTGAGTGGAGTTACACCACTGATTTGTAAAAAGGTGTTTGGTATCAGCAAATTTATTCTTCATTCCTCTCCTAATGATTCTCAAAATGCAATTTGCCTTTTTCACATAGTCACACACTGGTTTTATATTTTTACTGAACTGGCCACCATAATACTATGATTTTCTTCCCTGGCAAGTCATCCTCAACTTAGAACCTGTATGTGAAGTGAGGCCTCAGTGTGCATTACTTTATACACCTTCTTACATTTGCCATTTTAAGGCCTGTGCACCCAGTTTGGCAAGTGTCTGTTGGACCCTGTCACAATTCCTGTTCGTTTGAATCACCCTGGTGCCATCAGCAATGTGCCCTTGAAAAGTCTCTCTGGTTGCATATATGACTTTACATTACAAACAAACTACATAACAAGCCTGGGGGTTACAACTTAGGGATCTCTGTGTTGAACTAATATAGAAGCTCAGCTTGGTTGCTTTTAAAAATATACATTTACATGAAAACACAAATTCACTCTCTCCCTCATCAGTGAAGTTTTCCAGGTTAGACTATAGCCCTCTTCAGACATTCATCAGAAAGAGTTTAACTGTAAGTGTAGAGGACTCTGAGGATGCAACTGTAAGCATGGAAGAAGCTGGAGACATACTCCATTTCTTCCACAACCTTTCTGTGTTGACAAGAAAGATCTGCAAGAGCAGAGTAAGCATATTTGGTGGAATGGGCTTACCCAGCCTCATGTGATCAGGAGTACCAAAGCTTTACCAGGGTTCCTGATTGTGTAGGGTTCTGAACCCATGTTCAGTTGAACATGGTGACTACAATTGTTGCAGACCTTCCCCTTCCACACAGGCTGGTCAGGAATGAGTGGGACAAGGCATACATCCCTTGTTCCCACCGTATTTACAGTTAACCCCAATTTTGCAAATGCCTAAGAGCATCTGAAGCTCCTGAGAGCCAAGTAGGAACTCCTTTGTTGCTATTAGAGAGATATGTATAACCTCTATTTTAGAAATATTTTTTTCAATAAAGGAAAGAAGTTACTATTTTATACATAAAGAAACTAAGGCATTTATCTAAGGACACATATAAAAGTGTACTTATTTATTTTGTGGCAAAAATCTAGACTACTAGCTTAGTATCTACAGAGCACTGACCAGGTTAAAATACAAGAAACATATTGCAAAATAAAATACATACTAATTTAAGAGCAGAATCATGAAACAATAGAAAGTTTGATCCAGATAGTTACATTAAAAGATGTAGCAACTTGCTCTCTAATTGAGATGCTAAAACACTGAAGCAAATAATCAACAAAGACTCTAAGGAGCTTCCAGGAATGGATTACATGATAGCATAAATCAAAGTTTCTCTAGCCCCTTGATAAAAACTACAATTGAAGAAGACATATAGAACAGACTGCACCTCTCATTTGGTGCCAGGGAAATCTTGGTTATTAACTGGAATGTTATTTCTACATCTGGAACAGGGATGACCAGACTTGCTCAGCAAAAGAGCCAGATATGGCAAATATCAGAGGTTTGAGAGCTGCAAGCAGGTGCCCATGGGCAGCGGCACCAGGTGGTGAGTGGCAAGTGGGAGCCTGCAGGTGGTGGTGGCAAGCAGCAAGTGAGTGTCCACAGGCACCCATGGGTGGAGAGCAGTGAGCCACAAAATAAATTCAAAGAGCCACATGTGACTTGTGAGTCTCAGTTTGGCCGCCCCTGATCTAGAAGTTTAGAGGGTGGAAAATTGCAGCAGGGAACCAGAAAACAAACTCTCCTATATCTGGAGATAGATAACCAGTTTAAGTAGGACACTCCATTTTTAAAGTTTGGCCCAAACAAATCCATGGTAAAGTAGCATATGGACCCTATACCACTCTGCAGATTTTTTTAAAAAATTATATTCATTAGCCTCCATTTAAGAATGAATTTGGCTCTCTTCCAATTCTTAGGTAACAACTAAGGAGATTGAATCAAAAATTTTTGCACCACTTAATGAAGATTTGATTTAGACTGGAAAGAAATTGAATGTTTGCAATGAAGCATTTCAAACCACTGATACAGCCTCTTCCAAGATTCCAAGTTCAATGCAACACTACTTGAGCTAAACAATGAATCAGCCACACTCCAAATATTGATTATGGCCTATAAAGACCTTTGTTGTGGGAAATAATAATCAGATTTTATTCAGATGAAGTGGAAGAGCATTCGGAGCATAAGGAATGGCAGTTTAAGGATTTTTGACACCAGGCAAAACATGGCCACCATGCTAAAGAGGTCAAATTATATAACTATCATTTTTGAAAGATTAGATACTGAGCTGTCTCTTGGGGGAGAGAAGTCTGAAAATAAATCATGAGTAAAGAAATGAGTCAAGTGTGAATGAAAACTATTTCTTAAAAGAATAGAAAGTATTTTCTCGCCACAGAGCCAAAATGCTTGCCTTTCCCCATGGTTAATGAGACATTTGCCACCCAGGGTAAGTATTTGCATATAAATTTGCAACATGGAAAAGATATCCAACATAGTACTTGATGTTTTACAGTAAACAAATAAAAATATAAAGGTTTATAAATCGAGGTTTAAAACCTCGCTATCAGTGTGGACTGAGAACGGGAAGCCAACTTAAGGAATCAGATGCAATCAACCAAGAAAAATGCATAATATTGATTTAATTTGTTAATAAGGATAAATATAACCAGAGGAAAATTATTTCTTTGTAAAAATAAGGTGAAGTAAGAAACAGCTGGCTGCAAAATGGCCAATTTAGGATAGCTTGGGTCTGTCAGATTGAAAAGGTCAGTGGTAGAAAGGCATGCTGGGGGAAAGGTCCCAATAAGAGGACACTCCTGCAGAGTTCAGAGGGATGAAGAAAACAGCCAAGAGAGATACCCATGAACTGAAAATATCCAAAACATCAGGAACGATATAAAACTGCCTTTAGTGAGTTTGCAGTGTATGTGTATTTTCTGCAACCCAAAGCAAAGAAGGGACAAAGTAAAAAAATAAAAGGACATTTTAGAAACCTACTCACCTAAACCAGACTTTTTTAATCTTTTTAAGTGCTGGCTCATCTGTTTTCCAGTTGGAGACTTTTGGCCATGTTTCATTTCTTTATCAGAACTGTCTGCTTCACCATTTTTAGATTCAGACCCTTTAAAAAGCAAACATCATACTGAAGTACTTCCCCACTTGGGAAAAACAAACAAATGCGAAGCCATTTTTTAGACAAAACAAAACCTCCAAAACCTGAGAGTGACATCTTCATCTGCTACTCTATTTAAAGGTAATGTTTTCTGTTTGACAATTTGATTCCCTGTCACTAGAAGCAATGAAGCAAAAGCTCATAAATCCATTAAGTGGTGAAAACAAGTTTCTTGAATGTAGCAGTCAATAAAGATGCTTGCTAATCCAATAAAAATAAGCCTTTCCTCTGATAGCCGAGGGACATCTTTAAAAATAATCATGCTCCCATTATGCAGGGACAAAGAAATAAAAGAAAGAAAGGAAAATCCTCCCTTTGTAAAGTTAATCCCCCCCCCACACACACACATCTGAGAAAACACACACACGATATACAGTAAAAAGTGACACAGATCTTTGTACAATCAATTCACAGAAAAACATGTAACTGCCAGAACTAAAGGTCAGGGTTGCACTCTGGTGATTAGGATGGTGCCAGAACACAAAGTCTTATTAAAAAGACAACTGGTAGTGCAAGACAGAACTAAGAGAGTAATTCGCACTCCCAGAGGAGCTGCAATGGTTATTTATTTTGCCCCCTGATGGCACTGCATGCCAGTATGTAGTTCTCCCATTAGGAATCACCATCCAAAAATACTAATTTGCATTTCCTTAAAGCATCTCTTGCAATGTTGAATTTTAACCATTTTATTATGCCTTCCACCACCACCCTTTTTTCCTCTTAATACAATGGCATTACATTCATCCTCCTTTGATTTAATCAAAATTGGTCAAAGAATAAGAATAAAAAATCCATTATGTGGGAACAGTATCATTATTTCACCATCTTAATTTTGTACGCTATAGCTCTCACCCACAGGGAGGGCTCTTTGACTAGAAACTGATCTTGCAGACAGTCCTTTAGCTATTTACCTGAAGGTGAATCCGACTGCTCATCAGACACCTTTAATGGTGTCAAAACAACACGAGGAACAGTCTTGTTTACCATCATTGAGACTCCATTTCTTCTTTTCTGCTGCTGTCTCAAAGCCTACAAAGAACAACAAACAGAAAAAAATATAATAGAAAATTCTGCTTACAATTCAGCTATCATTCAGTTGAATGCTTTAAGATAACAATATTTATCTAGCTGTAAGTTTTCCAGGCTTCAAACTAGTTGTCTTTTATATAATTTCCCTTAAAACATATTATATTTATTCATATATATGGAAAACAAGCTTTTGGTTTTAAGGATAAGGAAGATGCACCTTTACAATCATTTTCCAGAACAATTTTGACAACAAAGAATCATACATAACTGTTTGCTCTACCTTAGCAGCAGAAACATGAGAACCCATGGAATTTGAGACTAAAACTTCCAAATAAAATAAATGTAAAATAAATATTTCAAACCCAGACTAAAAATGTGTGTCTGTACATCTCTTGCAGGTGCATCTTCTCCCGTATACTGCTCAGTCAATCAAGTTAACACAGTGTCATCAGTATGTACAGCATGTAAGGGCTACAGTATTGATGCACTCACTCAGCCGTGAGTAGTGCTGCACAAAATCACTGCACATGGCAGGAATCATTTATTTCTGCGAAGGGAATCGGTCCTAATCTTGGAAAACCTTGCAGCACTTGGCTTCTGTCTGCTTGACTTTGGGCATTAACCTTCAGAACACGAACATGATGGTGTTCTGGCAAATCCGGAGGAAAATGATACAAGAATAAATATGTACAAATGGGAGGGGTTTGTGTGTGTGTGTATGTGTGTGTTTTATAACTGGATCAACTATGGGGATGATAATGCAATACAAAATACGAACAGAAACTGAATAGCTGTCAGGGTATTTTATACAGTAAACGAGCCCAGACTGGAAGGTCAGGAAACATATTAATGTGAGAATTTGCCCGTTAAAGAATTTACAAGTACAGATATGGAAGCTGAGCAAGTCACAACAAATCAGCTCACTGCTGATTATCTGGTACCTGCTTGTAATCTTTATTTTACACTCTCATCTTTGATTTGTCTTTTCAAAAACAACAACTACATTTTACCAGTAGAGATTATGCCTAATATGAATGGATATCCTTTGTCTTCTTACAAGCACAAATGACTATTGACTTACGAGGTTAATTATGTAATTGCAATACAGTAGTAGTCTATTTAGGTGACAGTGCTTTGTGCACAAAACTTCAAAAGCCAAAATAATTAAACACAATGACTTCCTATTCTTTTGAATAATAATACTCTGTAACACAATTTCAGCCATAATTACACCCCCCTCCCGAACAGTTGGATTATTTCATGGATATTTCAGTGCAGAATTTATCAGAGGTTCATGGACAATCTATATAAAAGAAGATTTTTTTTTAAATGGCTGTCAACCAACTAAAGACTTTAACTGATTGTTTTTAATCAACTCAATTTACATACATTTTCATGTTGTCAAATCATCAGTGTACAGTATATTGAGTATATTTTTGAGAATATTGAAAGAAAGGCATGGTTTCTCTTAAACGAGAGTTAAAATTTTCAAAATCAATGCCCAAAAGCTACCGCTCATTAGCAGAAGGAAACACTACCTTTAATATTTCTTTTTCATCACTTTGAAAACCTCAGCTATATTATACTCCTCTTATGCTGACATAACACAGTGAAATATGAATGTTCTAATCCCATCAGTATTGTGGCAGATCCTGGTTTAAAAGACATATTGACATTGATTTCAGCTGAGCACTGTCAGCTTCAGTTGCCAGTGATTATTATTGCTAGAAGGAAATGCACAGTGGTTTCACCCTTAAATGCAAAAATATTTGTGATATTCAGATACAAACTGAAACGGAAAACCACTTTTAACTTTTTTTTTCATTATATCTGGGCAAGGAAAGGTGACACTAGGCCTCTCAGTCGTGCTTCCACAGGTTAACTAGAGGGCAAATTTAATCTGTGATCAAAGCTTTAGTTGATTAATCTACCAGTAAATTCACTTAAAGATTGTAGTCTCAATTAAAACAAAAACAAAAGCAAAAAAGAACATGCAGCACACAATGGCCTGGTTTTCATAGAATGCTAATTCATTGAATAATTAAACCATGACACGTCTTGAGCAAGTCTTCTGATCATTTGTTGCTTCCACTTTTCTTCCTGTTCATAAAACAACCCTGTTTCTGGGCTGTTAATTGCAACATCTGAACCCAATGCTGGGTTGCTGAGGGTCAAACAACCCAGAATATGAACTTATAATTTATTGCTGGGTTAAAACTCTGGGTTGTTTGTCCCAGGGCATTCTTGCATTGTTCAATAGTAAGAGTGTACAACAGAAGTCATGGGCAGTAGGGAGATACCATGGTCATGCATTCAGTCTTGGGCATCCCTCAATAACTATGGGTGGTTCAGTGCACAATTAGAGATTGCATGCCTAGCAAGCTGATATTTGGAACTCAGTCTTGAGGTTTGAGGTATATTTATCTTGAGGTATATTTAGAGGAAAACATAACATTTAGCTCATAAAAATAAACAGACAAAACTGTTTAAACCACACTTCTGGATTCTGTGCACACAGTTTGTGATACACCAAGCCAAACTTATTATTCCTAGTGGTCACATTGGACCCTGCTACCCCCCATTTATCTATTTATTTGCTATCCCTGGCTAGAAACAAAACCAGGAGACTACCACACATCATTAACAAGCCTTGCTCAGTTTGTTAAGCCACATGTGTTGCAGGCATGACTAGACACTGGGCTAAGAGAGGTGATGAAGAATCAGTAGTTATGGGATGCATGGCTCTCAATGACATTGAGAAATGGAAGAAAAAAGTCCTTAGCTGTCATGAGCAGATCCTATTACAGATGTAAGAGAGCAGTAGGAACACACAGACAATTTTATCAGTAGAAAAAATGCTCACAACAGAGTTCCTCAAGAATCAATATCAGGACACACTAAAGAAACAATCCTAGCATGGACATACCTCTCTACTCACCTAGTCCAACTTTCCATCACCAACTCACAAAATGAAAGAAATATACTACACTTCCTGGCAATAAAATTGATGATTACTAGGCAAGAGAGAGCACTTTCCAGCCGGATTCATGATATAAAATGCCAAGCATTTTGCTCACTTCACATGGTCCTTACATGGTCATAGTGACACCTACATTCACTGTAAACATTTACAATTTTTCACACAAATGGCATACAACCAGGAAGACAGTAACAACTGTCCAAAACAGTCATTTGCCCTGTATGAACTAGAAAGATCAAGCCTACATGCTAAAATTCCTAGCATGAAAATATAATATCATATATATTACACACACAGAGAGAGACATGAATATATAAATGAAACTATAATATCATATATCACACACACATGTGCCATTTCCAATAGAAATTCTGTCCTCATAGACAATATCATTCTCATATAACCCAAATTAAAATAGTATCTGCTTCACTGTTATCATCACTAGTTCATCTTACATTCACAAACTTGACTAGCGGCATTAATTCAAGTCTGAACATCATTAATTCCCATTCCTCCTTTAAAACGTTCTACAGAATGCTTCATGTACAAAGAATCAAAGTACTAAGCATAAAAGCTGACTATGTCTGCAAGGCTGCAGCCTTTTTATTTAGCACAGAGTAATAAAACATGTGTAACCTACAAAATTTCTAAAACATCCATATCTTTAAATACATTTCATTAAATCCTCCCTTATAGATAAAGTTCAGATCACAGACAAATAAGATGATTTCATTTATATTGACCTGACTTAGATCCAGAAATCATTGGTTGATACTTTACATGTCAAAACAACAGAAAATTGGTGAGATATAGCACATTCTCAGCAGGAAAGCACCGGATGGCAACTCAAGTGAAATAAAAGTCAAGCATTTCTGCCATAAATTGACAGCAGAGTCTTTGACAATAAGTTCACCAATTCTAATAATAATTTTCCTTCCTCAACCTGTCTTGCCTTGGTTAATACAGGTCTCTGTTCCCATTAATTTTGTGGTGCAGAAGGATAGGAATATAGGAAGCTGAGTTTGGTCCATCGAACTCAGTGTTCAAACTCCAACACTGGAAAGACTACAGGGCTATGGAAACTACTTTGCTTTTGAGATCCACCAACCAGCACTGGAAACTAAAGACACACACATAGGGCACAATCCTATGGCTACTAGAACACTGTCTAGATGATCATGTGATTATTTGAAGCCACAGCCCCATTCTTGAAAACTCATTCAAAGGTCAGAGCTGGGGTTCCAAAGCTAGAATTCCCTCCCAGCCTGTGTAGAAAGAGAGGAGAAGGCAGGCTGCATGAGCACAGCATAGTTTGGTGGTGCCTCAGTCTCCTCTCATGTTCTGGGGCCCATGTGGTCAAATGTGGCTATTTAAGTCTTTTGAAGGGAGGGAGAAATCATGCATAGGAAGCATGTACTTCTTCAAGGTCTAAGTGTTGAAGGCAACCACACTGGATTACACTGCCCATATTAAAGAATTCTGAGACCAGGAATTTGGTGCATTTCGTACCAGAAATCAGTGGGGTTCATAATCCTTCCATGCAAAAGCCCACTCCTGGTTATATATGTACTCTCTTGGGATTTTTGGTTCAGCAATACAATTTAGGGCATTGAGGCATTTTGATGTTGCTATTGTTGAATGACTGGGAGGCAGCAACCCCTGCTGATCTACTGCAAATCATGCAGAAATCCGCTAGTAGATCCCAGTCTGCCTTCTGCTCATGGCTGCTATACATTGTCTGGCAGTGGCTTCCTGGGTAAAGCAGATGTTCTACCTCTGAACTACAGCCCCTCCCCTTTCTTCATCACTGCTTTTTCCCAAAATTCATATGTCATGTCAAAAAATATTGGACCAAATGGACAAAGCTGATCCTGTTATCTTCTCCCCAGAGCAGCATGGCCACCATTAGAACTTAAGTAGAGCAGGTGTGTAGAAATGCCAGCATGTACACACATGGCCCAGGGCTTATAACAGTAACTTTGTGGCACAGGAAGCACTCATGTACCAGTCATGGTTCCTA